AAAACGCACAAAAGACGTCAAATCAAGTCTCTCGGCGCAAGACCACGCAGACTGATTGACGACTACACTGTCAGGACATGAGTCTCAAACTCGCAATGGTGAATGAGAATGGGTGTGGGTCGACTCATGTCTTTAGAGAGTGACCATGATCTCACAGCCCACGCGAATCAAATGCGAAATTCTTCGACTGTTGCGCGAGAGTCTCGAGCAAGGATTGCAGCGCGACGTTCGATCGTGAATCGATGGGGTTCTTGGTCAAGTTGCGAGGGGATGTTTGAGAGCTTCTCTGCAACGATTTGCTTCTCCGCGTGAATGCGCTTGGTCGATGGCGTCACTTGTGATGGTGCTGATCAAGATTACTCACATGCGCACGGGACCCACGCATTTGCTCGAACTCGAAAGCATGGATTTCACATAAAGGAGCACCGTAGCACACACGACTCTACGCAGCGGCGTCGCCAGCCGCCATGTTGCTCGCTCTTTCCCTCAGTTGTTCCCACTCCGCAGGCTCAAAGCCCACCTGCTGCCACCTGCTCTTGACATCCCTCTGTGCTTCATCGTCCTCTTCCGTCGAGCCTCGCAAAGGCGCTCCTTCCAATTCATCGCTGAGCAAATCCAGCAGCTTGGCCTCCACGGCAGCCCCATCTCTCATTCCTCTTCTCAGCTCTTCGTTCCCCCTCCCCTTTTCGCACACACTCTCCACAAAGTTGGCCACCGCCCTGGACGCCTTTTCGCTGTAGTCCAGGTCATCTCTAGCTTGCGCACCGTCCTTGAGGGATGCAACGCTGGCAGATACCTTGTTCGCTGGCAGCAAGCTGCTGAGTAGTGTTTGAACGATGCCGGAATGTAGCAGCGCTCTGGGAATATCTGGATATGCGATGCCCTCTCTGTGCGTCTCTGGACCTCGCTCCAGCGGTGCAGAAGGCGCTGCGCTGCCATGCGCATTGCTCGATGCTGGCTGACCAGGCAATGATGTGAGCGCGGTAGATGCGGAGCGCGTCGACGCTGCTGCGCTTCTGATAGGATCCGCATCCGTGCCAGTGCCCACAGCAGTGGTGCCATCGCTAACAGTGGTAGCTGCGGCTGCGTCGCCCACATGATCAGCCTCTTCCACATCCGTGCCATCCGCTACCTGGTCCTGCTGAGCTTGAAGAAGCAGCGTGTTGATGAGGAAGACCACTTTTCTGCGAATGGCGATGCTCGGATCCTCGAGCGCGCCTCTCAAAGCCTGCCACCCATCCAGTTCATCGAAGGCTACGACTGCAGGGGGATTGTGCTTGAGCAGGGCGCTGAGAGCGTACGCCGCCTTGGACCTGATGGCTTCTGCTTCCGACGTGCTCGCTGCAGACCCGCTTGCGCCCTTGCTAGCATCCACATCGGCCCACCTTAAAGAGTCGAGGATGGCCTGCAGAGGCTTGTGGGAGAGCAAAGCCATTTGCGCTTTGTCATTGTTCTGAATCGCTGTGCCGACGACCCACAGCGCACCCGAAAGGATGGCGGGCACCTTTGAGGCGAGGAGGGATAGGAGTGGAGGCCACATGCCCATATTCTTGATATTGTTGGCATTGTCGATCGATTCGATCAGCTGCAATGCGGCGTAAATAGCGTCAGTCGATCACGTTTGCAATGTGTGTGTGTATGCTGTGTGTGCGCGCAGGGGCAAGGCGGCAATGCGCATGCGCATGCGCCAAAGTGCCAGCCAGCCAGCCAGCCTGCCAGTCAACTGACCATTTCAAAGTTGTCCAGAGCGATGCATCGATCCTGCGTCGATCTCTGCTCATTGCAAGCCACAGCCAACTCCTCCTTCATCATCTGCGCCTCGCTCTTGCCGCCCATGAGGGCATCCAGCAATCCAGGATCTTGCAGATCTGGCCTCTTGCCAGCTGCCACTTCTGCCGCAATCTCCTTCATTCCGGGCTGCGCGGCCAACGCTTGGGCATCGATGGACCCATTCCCCGCACCCGCACCCGCACCCGCACCCGCACCGGTGCCGCTACCTTCTCCCTGCGCTGCAATGGACCACTTGAGCAGCTGGTCCAGATTTCTCTCCGACATCTCCAAAGCGCGGCGTGCGTCTGCAATCAGGGCGATGCCTCGCTGTTGTGCACAAAGATGGTGTTCGACGTCACAAATGAGGAGGATTTTGTCGGTGGGAAGAAGTTAGGGTGCGCGGTAGCTGTGGATTATAATTGTGAATGGTGACTGACCTTTAATGAGTCTCGAGTAGGAAGCATGGTGCTGACCTTTACCCATCCATCCATGGACTGCGCATCTCCAATTGCTTTCCACTCAGCACTCACTTTCACAACTCACAACAAAAGCCACAAGTGGAGCAAAGGCAAAGTCACGATCGACTTCTGAACGCGTATTATTATTCTTTGCACGCGCGTCTCGAATTTTCCAGAAGTCGCCCCGTGCCATCTATGCTTGGTCACGTGATCGCTCACGCTTTTTTGTCCGCAGAACAGGTCTTCTGAGAAGGCCGGCCGTCAGGGGCGACGTGATTCAGTGGACGCATCAGACGACTCGCCGAGTCTTGACTCGATTGAATAAAGTTGCTATGCATTCAACTCCTGACTGCCATGGCGGTCGCTCGAGGGAGAGGGCTGGGGTTGAAGCGCACTTTCACGGAGCAGCTTTGACGTAGCGAATTGGAGCGTATCGTGTCGTCTCTGGTAGCCTTGAAAGCGTACTGTCCAGGCACGGTCGATTCAGATTGAGGTGCCAAGCCCACCACGCCACGCTCTATCTAGCACTGCGCCAATCTTCTCCACAGCACCCTCCCAGCGATCACGCGCGGCGAAGCACGCACACTTGTGAAAGACCTCCGCTCCACCCTTGCGAGCGAATCAAGCTCCGCCGCTATCTGTATAACCAAGGTCCACATCGCGTTGAGCCCTCTCGTCCTGCCGCAAAAACACTCGCTTGATTGAGCCACTGCTGAAGTCATCCCTAGAGATTTTTGCTCTTGCCGACAGAGGCTTCAAGAAGTATGGCACGAAAGGCGAGAGTCACCAAGTCGAAGCTTCTTTTCCTTCACTCGCACTGCGCTGTGCGATTCAGAGCTGGTGTTTGCATGGGCGCGCTAGACACTTTACACTGCCTCGTCGAATCTCATTTGATTGGCAGTAATATCAGACTTTCGAGATTTGAAAAAGCAAGCGAACGATTTGCAGATCTGTCTACAGTCCGCCTCTAGCCGGGCGCCGATCTATCATCCAGGTCCATCTCAAATTGCAGATCCTCGCGACTGCTCCTCCTGCTTCCCCGCTCGCTCTCCGTTCCGCTTCCGCTAGAAGAGGAGGTCGTGCTGCCCACTCTTCCGCCCGCTCTTCCACGTCCACGTCCACGTCCCCTCTGCAACGCATTGCCCGCATTTCTAGGCGAATGCCCCACACCCTCCACGAGAAAGTCGGCGTCTTCACCTCGCGTGCGCGGCGAGTGGCTGAATAGACGCAGAGGGCGTGGGCCGGAGGTGCTTGGAATCTCTCGAGCTTCGCTCCGCTGGCGCGTGAGCTGAGGGGCCGTCGGGCGCGTGGAGGTGCCCGCTTCGCCCTTGCTTCGATAGCTGGCCATCTGAGCCTGAAAGGAAGCAGCACGGCGCGTTGGTTCGCGCTCATCATCCCATGGAAAGCTATGGGACGTGGGGCTGCTGCCGCTGCCCACACTGCTCGGAGAGCCAATCGGAGAGGCAGGCCGTTGTTGGCGGAAGGGGGAGCTTGGGCGCTCGGGCGACAGGGGCAGAGAGGCTTGTAGCATCTGCTCTCGCGTCAGGGTCAGCGGCTGAGGGGGTCCGTTGCGCTCTTCTTCGACCAACATGCGAAGCAGACTCTCAGTACTCGAGCCAGTGGATCGAGCTGTCGGTGGGGAGTGAAGCTTCGATGGCTGCAGCATTTTGCGAGGCCTCTTGTTTGGGCCTTGCACCACAGGACCATCGCTCAGCTCTCGCACCGTCGTCCAGCCTCGTTGGTCGGTAAAGATTTCTTGAGGGTGCCGTCGATGAGCTCGGGTCAGTGTGTTTAGCTTCCTTTCATCGCTCCTTCGCTGTTTCGCTCCAGGCATGGGATATTGAGGGTACTTGAGCGACAGAGACTCTTTGTGAATTTGTTGCATCTCCTGCTCGGAAAAGTCGGGTATGAGCAGGCTAAAGGACTTGCGTGGCTTCTCGAGCACTGCTTTGACCAGCCCTTCTGCTCCTCGTGGGTAGAGCGTGGCAGAATCTATGATCGAGGGCTGCCCACGAGCAACAGCTTCGTGCGCTTCGAGGCCGAGCACGGAGGTGCAGAGCACCGTCATCAGAGGCGGGGCAAAGAAGATGCGCATGACGTGAGCTGGCTGCCTCGAATGCGGGGCGAGCATCTAAGTGTGAAAACAAAGGACGGAGTGCGCGCGGATTGCCAGCGCTGTTCAGCGTAGGAAAGAGGTGCCAGCACAGAATACGGGGGTCGAAAGGGAAGCAGCGTTTGGGAGAGCGAATTTTATACTCTGTCTAAAGAGGCTGGTGTCTCTCCAACATGAGAGATAAGTGCTAGATGCGCGAGCTGGGCCGCGTCTAGGCATGCGAATGGCGAACGGAGCAAGCTGAAGTCAAGGCGGTTGTTGGAGCTGATATGTGAAGATTGTCAGGGTGCCGAGGACATTCATATCAGTCCACGCCTTTTTGGTCAGTCATCCTTTGGAACCGCATATTGGCGTATTGCCGTGGGTCAGCGGCGGCAAGCTTGCGCCACTGTGCTTGTAGTAGAAGAGAAGCGGCGCGCCGAAAGATTTGAAGTGATGGGGTGGGGAGTGGGCGGCCGCGAAGTCTCAAAGAGGGCCTCGCCATCCAGCGCTTCCTCATCTGCGCCACAATCCTTGCGCCACTCCACGGCCATTGTTCTCAGACTTCCACGCCGCGAGCACTTGGCGGCGCCAAAGAAAGCGCCACTGACTTCATCCCCTGCATGTACGTGGACAGCTCGAGCTCGAGCTATCATTCCACTGCTATGGACTCGAATGCGTTCGATCTTCATGCTATCGATGAGATAGTGGTGGCAAAGATGGCCCATCTACATTCGTGATTCTGAATGTTGGACATTGCACCCAGCATTTTGGCCCTTTGCGATCTTACGCGCCACTACTTTGAGCCAATTGAAAAGATGAAGTTGGCACTCCACAGTCACGAGTCGTACTTTCAGCAGTTCAACATGCAGTGGAAGTGGCAATACGCGAGCTTGCGTTCCGTCGCGGTGGTCTAGTTGGAGAGTGGGATATCCGCAAACAGTGACTCGGCTGCATCCACGATGTTCTCGTGAGATACGTGAAACGCTTGCCTCCTTCCTGGACACATGTGATTCAGGCCCCTCGTAGCTGGGCCACTGCTCGCACTTGTTCGAGCTGGGCTATCGCACCCGAAGCGAAGGTCATGCATTGAACACCTGTGCGACTGACCGCGGCAGAGGTACAAGGGCGCGAGAAGCTGACAGCTTCAATCATGTCTGTGTGGTATAGGTACATCCCGCCCGCCCATCATGTGCCCAAATCCAGCCAGTCTCTTGGCAACCCAAATAGCGAACTCTTAGCCGCAAGGCGTGAATTTGTATTACAATTTGCCAATCGTGGATTTGCTTCACGACTCACGACTTCAGGCCTCTTTCGGAAAGAAAAATGAAGAAGTACAAGCGGAGATGCGCGCTGGCGCATGATCCTCCGTTGCCGGAGATGCGCGACCGCCGTGCGCTTGCTGGAGCGGCAGTCTCGATCCCGAACGAACGGGCAAACCCTGCCTGCATGCTCCTTGCAAAAGCTTCGCACGCCGATGGGTCATCATCAGCAAGCAGCGTTGCAGCGTTGCAGCGTTGCAGCGAGATCGGAGAGTCGCCCGATGGTCCGGCCAGCGCTCGCTGCATGACTCGCAACGAATTGTGATGCGCAACTGGAGGAATCGCAAAAAAGCTCCACAAGCTACGCGAAGCGTGGAACACAAAGCACAGAAGCTTGTAGGGCACAGGTAGTGTGCGGTGATGCCTCTGCCACGCAGGTAGGCCGATGTGCTCTGCCTCCGCACAATGACTTTGTCCCGCTTGCTCAGGCAACGTCGGAACATCTATCCATCCGATCCCAATATCCCCTTCTGCTCATGCAGGAACCCGACCCGAATGAAACGCGACCCACAACCGTGTGCCGCCGGGCGCTCTGCAGGCTCACTGCGTGTGCTTGCATCGGAGATGTGACGACGACGACCCGCTTGTCGAGCGGACGTCTTGTGCTTTGCCCCGACTTTCGTGCGTGCGCATCACCATGACCACCTGTGTGGTGAAAGGGGCTGTTGCACACGCCAACCCGATGAGCATGTCATCGTCAGCATGGCAAGTAAAGTCGCACCCAAAGGTATAAGAAGAGCGAGTCAGGAGACGATGGAGGTAACTAGCTCGTCACATCCCCCTCCTACTCCATCGACTCCAAGCCGCAATCTGCTCTTCTTCCGCCAACTCTTATCCGTCTCTCACGTCCGCCACCTAGCGTCGACATGTTCGCTGCATCCCTCTTTGTGCTCGCCCTAGCGGGCTCGACCCTTGCCGCGCCCGCCGCAACGCCCGCTCAAGGGTTCGCGCCACCATCAGCGTGCAAATCCATCGGCAAGGCGGTGCTCGGCTACGACCCTACGGACATCCCCATTTACTCTGGTGCCGCACCCAAACGCTTCCTTGGAGAGTACGGCAACATCGACGGAAGCGGCGCTAAGCTTTTACAGCCCGGCAACACGGTGCCTCAAGAATTCGAAGTGTATAGTTGCAAGGACACTCCATCGCCAAGCTCTGGCAAGGGAGCCATCTCTGCTCAAGATGGCTTCATCGTGTCCTCCACGACGCCGGGCAATTGTCTCACTGCTTCGGACGAGAAGAAATTCGGCGCGCACTTCGTTTCCAAACCCTGCGACTTTACTTCCGGCTACATTGCCAACTCGCAGCACTTTCAATTCCTTGCGGATACCTTCTTCAGCTACAAGCTCGTCGACTTCTTGGGCGACACCAAAGACCCCACACAGAACGCCACCAAGTCATTCTCCACTGGTCAAGCTGGATATCACTACAGGATCGACACGGATGACACGCCTTACGGCAGCGAGACTGTTGCGCTCGACTATCAACCTGGCTCCTACATCTCAACCGCCGACACCATCGTTGCAAGCTTCAATTACAAGGCACCTGCAGCTACGTTCCCCGAATGCCGCCTGCGCAAGAATGGCGCTCTTACGTGAGTCCTTTGGCCCTCTGACACCTTCGTCCATGACCCGGCTGAGACGATACCATCCGCCCACAGCCTCGACGGCAAGCCTCTAACAGTGAATCCTACACCGGTGCAGAACGGAACGCAGTCGTACACCGCGTTCCAGTTCTACGAGTGCGACTCCGACTACATGGGATACGTCTCCAACCCCAACACTGGTGTATTTTACGGTCACTTCAAGATTGCCTCTCACGACTACTGCTACGTTCAGCAGAACGGCCAGAGCGGTCCTGGAAACGGCTTGATGTTCGACATGTACGGCGGATGCACGAACGCCGACTCAGGAGTCCAGACGACGAGTTTCTTCAAATACGACTCCAAGTCTGGCAAGGTCAACTTCTTGGGCAAAGCGAAGAAGGACAACCCTAATGAGAATGTTGTGGGCTGGAAGCTGGACGCCAATCAGAACCTCAATCTAGACTTTGCCTCCCAGAACGGTAACCTTGTCTTTGTCTGAGCGCGCGTGCTTATGCATCATAGCACGCCTCTGTTTTCACCCATGGACGCTCGTAGATTGCGCTCTTCTTTCAATGTCACGAGTCTAGTCTTTGTTTCGCAATCGCATGCATTCGCTACAGACACTGCGACTGAGGCGCATCTTTGCCGCGTTGACATCAGCCCAAGATCGTGCAGGCGCTCGATGGATGGTGTCGGCTGATGTGACAAGCATTCATATAAAGCGGGGTAATTTCGGCAAAGTGTAGGAGAAGTTACGGGCACCTCTGGCGTCAGATGTCAGACGCCCTTCGACTTATTGCCGGCGGGGTCAGCAACGGAATTGATTTAGGCGCACGCGCAAGGATGTCTACGATCGAAGGGGGAGTGATCTCAGTGATCGTGCGTACCGCCTTCTCGAGCAAGTCAAGAAGAGTGGCTTGACATGGAACGCCAAGCGGCGCTCCATGAACTGTGAGATCAAGTCCCAAAATAATGACGATTTGCTCTCGAAAGCCATATCAAGAATGCAAAGAATGCAGAGCAAATATGTGACTGTGTTCTCGGATTTTTTTTTTGATGATCCATGACGAGCAGGCCGCTGCGTCGTCTCTCAAAGAAGGGGACTTTGCGCGCCAGTTTGCGCAGCCAGCAGTTTGCGTCTTCATCGTATTCGTCATCGTTTGGCGCAGCGACACGTCCTTTATTGATCGATCGAGTCGTCGCTACATTCTTGATTGATCGTGAGCTCACTCCATTGCGCCGCCGCTCATTTTGTCTTCAGTCCTCTCCATACAGCGACTGGGCGAGGACATTTCGGTGTCCCCGTGCCCGAATGTCATTATGAGTCCGAGTGCTTGCCTGTCAACGTTATCGAGTGTCGCAATTACGAATTTTGAATGCTTTCGACGGATTGTTTCCGCCGGTCACAGCATGTGGCGCGTCAAAGACATACAAAGAATGACTGTCATCAGCTCAACTTTGTAAGAGCCACACCGTCTTTACTTGAGGGTCACCGGGAAGGTGTCCGAAGCTTGCACAATCGAGCAACTTTCGTCAGCTTGTTCGGAATAGTGCCCAGTAGCAGTGGGACGTCAGATGCGGGCGCCACGTTCGCTCCATATGCTTGGCGGTCAATGTCCTGACGCCTGACATGGAGGTGATGAGAGGTGCAGGTCATTTCGATAGCTTGTGCTTGACCGGTATAGATAAAGCTGACCTTTCCCCCCTCGCTGATGTGATCTCACAAATCCCCGTACAGCCTTCCATCTTCCCATTGCTCTCGCTATCATATCGCATCGCGCAATCCAAGACTGCGTCTTCCGAAGTCGGCTTTAGACCCACTTTGGACTGACCTGTCCGCCATGCTGCGAGTCGCATGCGTTCTACTTGTGGCGCTTATGACTTGCGTCGTGCCTCTCGCGCAAAGTAGCCCTATCCCTTGCACCTTGGCCACCACGGCAGTTGAACTGCTGCCTGCTGATGCAGAATTACGAGCGTCTTGGCGTGAGTGTTGCGGACGGTGTGCAGCATAAAGATGAAGCTGACTTTGAGTCGCAACCCTTCATGCGGCCAGAACGAATGCTGTCTCTGCGCATCCAGCTGCTCCGCAGCACAAAGGACTGGACGCAATGGTCCGCCTGGCATGCTCAGAGTCAGGTGCTCGACAACCCGTCACGGGTGTTCGCAAGGCTTTCCTACATGCCAGCATTATCTCGCCGTAGGCCACAGATCATCACAGTGCCGGGTGTTCCAGATACAAAGCAGCCCTCCACTGTCCCTGATCCGAAGACCAAAGATCCGAGGAGCGGACACAAGGGCCGTACAGCGCCTGCCAATGACCACGCTGGCGCAAAAAAAGGCTCATATGCTGCAGATGCCACACAACTGCAGCATGTGGGTCCTCCTCTGCTGCAGCCTATGGGCCCTCCCGTGCTGCAGCATATGGGCCAGTACACGCGGACCGGCAAGAAACCAGACCCTGGCATCGATTGTGGCAAGCTAGAGGGTGCACACCCACTGCGTTGCAGCTGGACAGTAGGAGGAGTGCCTTTCCACTAAAGTGCACCCAAGGCATCCTACTTGCTCGCGACTCGACGCTACCATCCTCGACCCGCCATTCAGCGCACCTCCTACCAGTGTCCACAGCAAGCTTGAGCAAACTAGCTCTCGGGATATTGGCAGCCCACGCCGCTTCAGCTGCCCTGATGGCATCGCAAGAGCCCTTTTGGCTATGCGTCTTGACGATTGTCACGCTGCTCATCGTTGTGATGGACGGATTCCTCTTCTTGCGCTTGTAACTCTAAACATGCGTGCGTTCTTCCTTGGAAGTCATGTACTTTTGCGCGTCGTCTGTCACTTTGCAAACGCGCATACGCGTTGCAACGCAAGAGTCTGACTCGATCGGGCTCCTCTGTCAGAACACTGTGAATCGTCGATCACGTTGTGTATCTGCATGATCGTGGAAGTCGATCAAGCTTGAAGTGCAAGTCAAGCATGAAGTCACGATGTGAATCTGAGTGGTGAATGCAAAAAATTCGAATTCAAGATCCCGCTTACTTGGCCTTGATCACGCATCCACCGTTCAACATTCAATTTGATTTTGATCCGTGACAGTCGCAAGTGCGCGTGCAGTCACAAGTCTCGTCACGTGAAATTTCATGCGAACACGGACTTTCAAATTTGAATCTTGAATTTGAATGTTCAGTGTTGAATCAAAGTCAAGAATGCTTTTCTGGTTTGAATCCGAATCACGTGTCTGAGTCACAAGTGCGCTAACGATTCAGATTCAAAATTTCTGATTTGACAGCCACCGCATCCATGCAGATTCATCCTCAAGGTTTCGATTTTTTTGACTCTAATCCAAATTCAAGATTGCCCTTCTCCCATTCAGAGCTTAGCTTTGGTCAAGACTGTGCACTCAAAACCCTTCAATTTTGTGTGTTCATTTCAACCGAACGTTCGTCATCACCAATCATGAATCGGCTACATGCGCAAAGCGACGCCGCTCACACTCAACTCGAAGTTGAGCACCTTGTTGCCCGCGAATCCTCAGGCTGCTGCCCATGACTGGTATGCCCAATTGCCCATGAAGAGAATGAGCCTCAAGCCAGTCGCACATTCGGCATCGGGACTTGGTATTCCTGGCTATTTGCTGCCCATAATGTTCAATGTCCGAACAGCGGGCTGCACTCTGCATGAACATCTTTGCTGCCTGACAAGAGCTCACGCGCCTTCTGGAGCAGCAACCCAATTTGCAATGTAGACACCACCGGGTACTGTAGGCTTCGAGGCTTCATCGCCGAGGAGCTCGTCTATGGCTCGCACATTGACCGCCAAGGGCGATGGCGCCATACGCCACGTCACTCGGCAAATTGAAGTTCTACGCAGTGCCTCGGCGTCATCTTCCCGTGTGCGGGAGGATAGATGCAAACACACCAGAGTATCAGGTGAAGAACATTCGACCGTAGTAGTAGACGTATGATCTCGACTTCCATTGCTTGATAGGAGCCTGGACATCACCACGCTTTCATCCTCCTGCCTTTACTCTCGCCGCCGACCTGGCCCTCCATTCTCCAGCACGGTCTTCGCAGCAAGTCGCATTCGCCGTCCTTCGTCTGAAGTGTTCCCCACATACTTCCACAAAGACCTGCTCAAAATGCAGTTCCCCAAGGTTGTTCTCGTTACACTCGCCATCGCAGCCGCTTGGAGCAGAGCTCAACCTATACCATCCCAGATGAGCCGGCCAATCGAAAAGGCACCTGTGGAAGATCTTGCAGAATACCCGACGCTCGGTCTGAGTGCATTGCAGGCAAGTGAGTCGCAAGCTGTCCTCAACAAGTGCGTCTTCGTGATCGTCACTGACAAGTCACGCCCTCAACGATGTCAGCGTCTGTGCCTGAAACAAGGTCTTTCCAAATGACTCTCCACGAAGCAGTACACAGGCCGTGTCTCGAGCCCGATACGCCCACGGCGGCGCGTCTGAACAGGGCGATCAACAGCATTACACGGGTCGTCTTTCGCCTCTGGATCACTATTCACAAAGACAGAGCTGCTATGCCTCTTTGACACGCGCAACGACTGCTCCCAAACGTCTCTCAGCTATCACGACGGTCACACCCTTCTCAATTCAGTGACTTTGTCAGCTGCGCCATCCCTTACTGCGGCCTCAGCCTCTTCGGCACGGGGGCAGGGATCGGTGTCCCGTTCTACGCTAAGAAAGAAGCCACACGTAGGGGAAGTGTCAAGGAAATGAGGAAAGTACTGGCCGGGAACAAGCCATCCGGCAAAGCGAAAGAAAATGCAAAAGAGTATGCGCAGAAGCACAAGGAGGAAGAGGGTGAAACCCATGCCGGGAAGCATTAACCCGGTCAGTCTATCGAGCAAACACTCCGAAGCGCACGTGCGGTCTGGTGCAAGAGACAGGGTGATCGTACAGAATCAGAAGGATACGATGCCATTCGTCATTTTTTCGGAGCATAATCTAGAATTACATAGCACGCAATCATATCTCGTTGCCATTTTCCAGTGGCAAGTATTCAAGGATTACCAGGGCGTTCCTTTGCCTTGCCTCCGTAGCCGGTGCATGGGGCCAACACTGCTTTCAGGTGAACTTTGCTTCCGATCCTGCTCCAATGCGAGACTCATTTGAGTGCACAAAGGCTTTGTCGAAGAGAAGGAGCACACAGGGTCAGAGGCGGCTCTTCATCCACGAAGGGCGCAAGAACCTTTTGCTCAGACTGACCATGTACACGCTTGATCAAGGTTCGCCGCAGTGGAGCATCTGCTCAAGACTCTAGATGATCAAATTGCTCCATCTGGACGCTTCTTCCCCAATTGGCAATTCCGCCCAGTCCCCAGGCGCACCTAACGTGCATACCGCGCGGTAGAGATCCAGAGCATCTCTTTTCTTTGCCGCCGTCTTTGCTTGGCGTGTCACCGGTGCTCTGGGTGTGTGCAACGACGGCCTTCGCGCCAGTGCGCAGGTACGTGCTCTTGTGGTCCTCATGCACCAACGGGCTTCCCCTAAGATAGGGCGACCTGGCAGGCTTGACTCGGACATGGCCTTCAGCCAACTTTGCGGCGTTTATGGGCCCACCCGAGTCGCGTACAGCGTCAGCAAGATCTTCGCTTGTGCGGATTGGTGCGGCGCTTGTCTGCTTGACGGCAGAGACCGCGAGCAGGCTGGCGAGGACGGTGACAATGTTGAGCTTCATCTCGTTGTACTTTGGTCAAGCGTGAATGTTAGCTGAGGTTTGCCAACTCGAAAACCTGCTCCGTACGCACTTGTATGGGGCTAATTCCAGAAGCAGCGAGGAGCTGACGAGTAGACGCACAAGATGTGCCAGCTGGAGATAGTAGTTGGAGACTTTTCGAATACCGAGAGAAGTGCGGTAGAAAGCTAAGGATAGCATGGACGTCCGACTGAATTCGAGGCGCACTCTTATAGCAAAGCAGTGGCTCCATCATTCCTGGCAAGAGTCCCGCAGCTTGATGCGGTCAAGCTGCGCTTCGTTGAGCATGAGCAGCGACGTTTGATAGCTGAAGGAGACTACGAGCGAGGTGAGCAATGCAGCAGAAAGCAGGGTTTTCTCTTTGCTCGATGGTCCAGGGTGTGCGGCGGGCCGCGCAATGTCGACCTCATCCCCATCGGGTCATCAGGGACGCTACGACAGCCTCTAGCGACTTTTGACATATGACTGACATGTGCCTGTAATATCGCACGTGCGTCGAGCTTGACGCGGCTGCGATCAACGTCAATTGGTAGGTACTGTCTGGGCCAGTCTCGATCCAATCGCCGTCAAGGGCAGATGCGCTGATACAAGGAGCACCGTCGGGATACTACCCCGCGTTTGCTCCTGCATGCCTTCGAGATCGCGACAGCGTCCCGATCGTTGCAGAACTATGCCCGCCGCCGCCGCCGCCGCCGCCGCCCTTTTCATCGACACAGAGGCGCGTGAGATGGAAAGAACAGAGCTGGCTGGTGGGCTCATTGCGCCCGTTGCAGCGACGTATTCTTCAGTCCACATGTCCTTGCATGCTCAAGTCGGCTGAGCAAGGTCTTGCAGCCCGCATCGGGCCTACGCCAAAGACATCCTCAGGGCAAATAGTCTCGACATGACGCTGAAAAGGGCCAAGATCCACACAGCGCAACTCCTTTCGTGATCCCTCTCGATGCACCATGCCTCGCTGGCATACAATCTTCAGTCGGGGCGATTGCGCAACATCGTCGTTGAAGCAAGTAGCCTGAGCCGCTCAGGTGAGACTTGCAGAGATACAATGGCCGATGTCGAATAAGACGTCTGTGTGGAGAGTAGTCTGGAAGAGACGGTGACGCGCAGCGCGCAGCACGCGGAGCCAAAGACTTGTTCAGGATAGTCAACCTGCTGGATCTCTCGCATGGTGATGTTGGCTCTCAATTTCGTTGCCTGGAGTTTAGACTCGAGAGCGCGTGCGCCGTGCGAGCATTTCAATCTTCAGCTTCGAGTTGGAACTTGTCTATCGCCCTTACTGCTGCTGTACAGTGGCTGCAATGCTCAGCGAAGTGAAGGTGGTACCGATCAGGGGAGACGGATGGGCGCTCACCATTCTGCACGGCGGTAGAGTACAGAAGATGCTCGGAGAGGTTTACAAGGCGACCTTTTTGCGCTTTGGGGGGCGCGTGCTGCGGGCATGCAACATGAGATCGTACCGAGTGCCTCCGATCTCGATGTAAACGAGCTGAAGTGTGTTTACGCTTCACATTTGTGTCGCTGGCTGACTCGTGGCCACCTTGGATGCTTACGGGGCGAAGGCTGGGAGATGAACGGGCGAAGCATGAATGAGAGTCTCACTCAAGCTGCGCCCTTCATAGGTACCGGGTGCTGTGGTCATGCAGCTTACCTCGCCCCTGAGACAGCGGCAGAGGAACGCCACGCGTCACACCCTTTCCCCTAGTCAGTTTGAATGGCTAAGATTTGACAGCAGTAGCCTGCCCTCGCTCGAGGAATGCTGCGCTGCATACCCACAAGCAGGCCGCTTGGATTTCCGCGACTACCGCGAGACCCGCTGCGGCCCGGGGTGGGGAGGAGCCACCGCGGCGTCACAGCAGACGAAGTCTTGAATTAGTGGCTGAGCAGAAACTCTGCTGAATGTGCATGTCAGTCGCAATTTTGCGTGTGTACTAATCATACGCTTGTGTACGTGGACGTAAGCCTGTACCGGTGTAGGAGCAAAGTAGACAGGAATCTGTACGGTACCTGAGGCTTATGGTAGCAGAGGCAATTTATACCCCGGGCTACAACACTTGCGCTCCGAGGTAGCGTGCGTTTTCACAAGGCCCGGTTTCGCGAGCATCATATCTTTGAAGTTTGAGTGATACCTGAAGCGCGGAGGAGCCAAGTCAATTTGTTAGTGCCGCCCATTGCAGCTCACTTCTGCGACTTCCAAGAGATTCGCGTTGTTGATTTGATATTAATGACACGGGTGACTATCAGTAGGAAAGACATGCGGACCGTGCCGATGTGGATGCTTTTCTGCTCAATCAAGAATATGGCGCTACCATTGTCACTGACGAGTACGACTTGAGCTCCCGAGTCAAGAACACGTCAATGGCAACTAGTAAATGTACCGGTAATCATTTAATTTGCAGGCATATGCATGTTTGAGCATTTCGTGGCGCAAGCATGATGCCATTCGCC